AAATTCCAACGAGGGAACGCACTGTTTTCCTTCATTTTGTGTATAGCAACCACCCACAAGTGATTACCTGGGTGTTTGAAACTCAGTTTTATGTATACCTCACGGGAATCGTTTCCTATTTTTGTATAAATGTTTGAAATTGTAATTACCGGTAATACAATCCTAATGTACATATTACATATTATGTATTGTTTCTTAATACGCTTTTATTAGCTTCAGACGTATGTATGTAACGGAATCTTTGAACATGATTTTGATCCCTTTCAAAACGTCGAATTAACTCGAAATTTGGTATACTTATTAAGGGCCGATGACAATCCAATATTGTAAAGAAAAATTGAAAAAAAAATGGAAAAAATTGAATTAAAACTAAGAAATGAAAAATAAATAATAGTTTAAAAAAACTAACAAAATACGCTTTTATAGAAAATCCAACTAAAAATAGAAAATAAATTTTAATAAATTTGAATTAAAAATAGTATAAGAAAAAATTATTTTATTGTAAAAAAGCGTGGGGTGCATGGTATCAGTAGTTATACCTATACATATTTTATGAACAGATATGAGTAGAAGGGTTATTTTGATAATATCCTGAAAAGCACTATTATTTATTTATGTTTGCTACTTTGTTTAATAATTTCAGAAATACTATTATATATTAACATATACCAGGCTTTTCTTACTTGTTTAGTGCCTTAAATGCCTGCCTGTCTTAAACAAAACGTATGAGACATAAGCTGAGAAGCTGTCCCATAATATCAATGTAGGAAAAAAATTTTTGACATTAACTTGAAAAAACATAACAAATGAAACGTGCAAAGATTCCTTTTAAACACAATGTACAAGGAAACGTGTTTTTCAACAAAGGGAAGCTGAGAAATGTCGGAATATATTTCTATTTCCGTACAAACTGAAGATATACGGGAAACTTGGAATTTCCAACCTACGAATTTAACGAGAAGTCAAACATTTATTGTTTATTTAAATAATTCTGGTTCTTACTGGTGGTAGGACCTCTTGTGAGTCCGCCCGGGTAGGTACCACCACCCTGCCTACTTCTGCCGTGAAGCAGTAATGCGTTTCGGTTTGAAGGGTGGGGCAGCCGTTGTAACTATACTTGAGACCTTAGAACTTATATCTCAAGATGGGTGGCGCATTTACGTCGTAGATGTCTATGGGCTCCAATAACCACTTAACACCCATCGTCCACCCATCTAAGCAATAAAAAAAAAAAGTCAATCGACTGTAATATTTTATTGAATGTATTAAATGAATAATGAATTTTCTTTGGTTATTGCAAGTCCTTAAGCTATTTAAAATTACTTTTACGCTTTGATCATGCGTTTCACATTCGTTCGTGGTTACGGTAAGCTGACGAAAAGTTAATGTTAAATTTAAAAATGTAAATCTAACATATTGGTAAATAATTCAGTTTTGCTGTGAATTATAAAAATCATTTAGTTCATAACAATAAATAAAATTAATGGAAATAGTTATAGCCGAACATGAAATAGCATCCTTAAATTATAATGTGATATTCAAGCGCTTGAAAAATTACTCATAAAAGTCGTAATTTATTGCAAACTCAATTCTTCGAAAAGCCATTCTTAGCCTATAAATGTCAATGAATGTAACTTCTTATAACCCCTATTCTGGCTCTAAAGCAACTATTATTACATAATATTATATAATATTACGCCATAAATGTCTGTGAAAATGTATCCCATTATAAATTGCCAAAAACGATTGCAACAGTCGTATCATTGTGCCAGCCTTGGCGTTTGCGTCATCCGATTTCAAGTAGGCTAATTATTATAATAATGTTTACATTACAGTCACACGGCAACAACAATGCAAATTGTTGTTTAATGTGTACTTATTAGTATATAAAAAGATTTATTTCAAAATATTTAAATTGTGAACTGTTTCTTCAACTAATAAAATAAAATATAAAAATAAATAACGACCAGCCCTCGCTTCGCTTCGTGGACTATAATTTACTATTTTCTTTTATACAAATACGAACCTCAGAGAATGATGTAATATAGGATATTGTATAGCGTACCACCACGAAGCTCTACCAACGTGGATCTCACAATACTTGGTGAGCACAGCCATTCCCCTATCAACTTTTTTAAAGACTAGCGACCCGCCCTCGCTTCGCTTCGGAAACATTACAACACACATGAAACAAACAAAAAAAAAATATTAAAAAAAGTAGCCTATGTTCATCAGGGACAATGTCGGCTTCTAATGGAAAAAGAATTTTTCAAATCGGTTCAGTAGTTTCGGAGCCAATTCGAAACAAACAAACAAACAAATCTTTCCTCTTTATAATATTAAGTATAGATCAACTTTTTTAAAGATACTCACTAAGTATTGGCTGCATCTGGCAATTCATAGAGTTACAAACGTACTTTATACCTTTTCAATTGATACACCATTTCAATTGAAACCTGCAAAAGTATTTTGCTTCAGACACGACGTGTTGGTAAAAGTTCATTGTTTTTCAATATGCTTACCTTGAAAGTTGGCATAACATTTTCTTGAATAACTTTTGTTGCTCCAAATAACGTCATTTGAAGTTGCTGAGCCCTTGCTCGCCCAACTGTGCTTGTGAAACTGGAAAGGCCTCAGGGCCACCAGTAAACTCTCAATCATAAAAAAAACACCTATTGAGCTTAAACTGGACTGCAGAGCACTAAATTGTCTAGTAGTTTCCTTCGTTCAACACGAACATCACACGAGAACACTCCGATACTGAAATAATCGCGTAGTTGAAGTTTATTTAATAGACCAATTGCAATATATCTATTGGTATATTGGTGGCTCTAATTGTGACTAAATGTAGGGTTCCGATACTGTTATATCTATTTATGAGCAACTCTGGCTCCCTCGATGCTATTTAATGTTTTTAATGTTAATGATGTATATCGCACGGTTATATACAATGTTTTTGCCGTGACGTACGAAACGCTACATTAATTCTGTGACTGGTTCTGTTTTTTTATTAATATATATTAAAACCATTAAAAAATATTCGGGCTTTATTAATCATTTTAAATTCAATATCGTATTTCACAAAAATGTACAGCAAATGATGGTTTTCATTTTTAAGACGTTTGCCTTTATTTACATTATTGTTTACGGAACTGTGACAGAATACAAGTGCCTTAGGAAATATCATTTTTCGCAGTAAATGTTCACGAAAGAGCTCTACGATGAAATAATGGTATCGTATAACAAAAACAAATCTGATTACTGATAATAGAACATACATTTCGATCATCCCAAAATAGAATAGTTCTCATTACTGTCCTAAGCTACGAACGACAACACATGGGTACTTCGCGGTTGAATTAGGAAAAATGATGGTACGTAGGTATGTGCCCGGATTTTTCAAGATACATCTAGAAATATCTTCTATCTTTTTCGTACATGGTGGCACTCTAGTTGTAACATCCATGGAAACTCATATATATAATTGTAGCTTGTACACAGTGTCACTGATGTTCATATATAATAGGAAAAAATGTATCGCTTAGAAATATCATTTTCTTCTATACGGAAGGTACCCCTTTTCCTTCGTTGAACTCTTGACAACGTTAATGCAAAATTTCATGATGGCCCATTGAGTAGTAGGACGCGAAAGCGTAAGAATCAAATAAATAAACCCACTTTCGTCAAACTATTAAAATCAATCTCATATTTTAACATACCATGACTTGGTACAGTGAGAGAGCGCGAAGCTTAAGAATTACCATCAGGTAGATTTGAAATAGTTAACCTCGAAATTCAATGCGTCACGCATATCCATGTAGATCCTTACTTTCCAAAGCTTGAATAAAATATTAACTCTACTGTTATTATGGCGAACATTAATCAAGCTGTCATCGTCTATTTTCGAGGTAAATTTAATTTCGTCACTCGACCCATTACATCTGATACGTTAAGTCTCTGATGGGATATAATTAACCTATACATTAAAACGAAACAACGGGAGTATACTGATTAGACCTTTTTCAGTATCCCGTAATAATTTAATAGTTTGAAATCTTAATAAATGAAATGAATGTCAAACATTACACTTTTTATTAATTTACTATGAGGTTTTTGATTAAGCTACGTTTAACTATTTTCAACATTTAGTACAAACATTACGTTGTTCAAAAGGTGATTGTGTTTCGAATTTAAAATGAATGAATATCATTGTTCTGTTCGGAATGCTTTATCTTGATTAATGGTTTAGTAATTAGGGTTTCTCGCATAGTCATAGTAAAGAACATTGAATTTTAGTTTTTTTTAATCTGGAAAATTGTAATCGCTGTTGTAAAATTTTAGATAAAATTAACAAACTCTAGTGTTTATTTTAAAAACAACAGTTTTTTTTTTTCACTGAATATAATATGTGGTTTGTTTTTGGTAAATAATTAAATTCGCTTAAATTATTCGCCGATACAGATTGTTTACATAAAATTAAAGCTAGGATGAATCTTAATCTAATGGACAGGCAGTCACATGGTCTAGTTTAAAGTACCCACGAGATAGCCGATCATGGCATTCACCTTAAGATGTATAAGGGCTTAATACAATTTGGGCCATAAATTATTTATCTACTCATCTATGCCACTAAAGATAATTCTCACCTAGAGTAGCTGTTCTTCCTTGTCAAAATGCTGGTTTTATTGTAAAATTCCAACAATTATACGAGGAATCGTATACATATTTGATAGATATAAATTCATATATCTATCAAGTACACAATAATTTTATCTATAAAGACTCACAATTTTTTTATTCATTGTAATATGTTTAATTTAATTAAATACCAGTTTAATTTAATCAAGACGCTTAAATAGTTAAATCTTCTAAAATTAAACTCAAAATATTACCCAAAAAAAGTATGAAATAACCCTAACCTAACTCAAACTAAGGACCTAAAATTTAGTTTTGACAACTCTCGTTTGATGAAATGCTGATTAAGTTTTTTAACAAATAAGGTAACGGCTGCCGGCAAAGCAGTACTTGTCACTGGGTGTGACAATGTATTAGGCAACGCACTGGCCCGAAGACTGGACGATATGGGATATCATGTGTTTGCTGGCTTTCAAACTAAAGCGGGCAACATCGATGCAGATATGCTGAAAGAAGATTGCTCTGGAAGATTACATACCCTACAACTTGACATTACGTCTGAAACCCAGGTATCATATTCAACACTTTGAATCTCCCATGTGCATGTAGTACTTACTATCTTATCCTACAAATATTATAAAGTTGTATGTTTAATTTTAACCAATAAACTTGCCCAATTAAAAACGCTGATCGTACGTACGTAAACTTCATACCAGAACGTTAAACTTAAGCTGCACATTATCGATTTAGATCGAATTCTATTTATTATTTGATAGGAGATAATGGAAAGATGCAAAGAATTCTAATTCGACAAAATTAAAAGATCGTGTTAAATGCTAAGCGGCTTCAGTTTTAATTGGTTGCTTTTATAACTCTCAAGTTCCGCCCGGCGAATCTAATTAAACATATTTCTTCATTGAGAATGTACTGAAAAATAAATAAAAGATGTTTTTTATTTATTTTGTATTTGAATATCGTAATTATAGTGTAAATGTTAATAATAATGAAATGCGATTCATAGAACAAAAAACTGATGAAAAAGAAAGAGAAAACGCTAAAAGAAGAAAGAGAAAATGTTACTCCATATGACACGTTACAATCGATATGACCCAGGAGAGTTGACGTCAGGCAGGTTACCGATCGTAAAACTCAGACTAAAATTTATATGCAGCATGTTAAGAGGACATCCTGCACTAACTCCACATAATGTAAATTAAGGGCAAGAAGAATAAAATCGCATAAGTGTATNAAAGAAAGAGAAACGCTAAAAGAAGAAAGAGAAAATGTTACTCCATATGACACGTTACAATCGATATGACCCAGGAGAGTTGACGTCAGGCAGGTTACCGATCGTAAAACTCAGACTAAAATTTATATGCAGCATGTTAAGAGGACATCCTGCACTAACTCCACATAATGTAAATTAAGGGCAAGAAGAATAAAATCGCATAAGTGTATATAAAGTACTCGAACAATACGACTGAACTTGTTAAGAACCTAAGCCGCTATTTCGCACCGATAACTTTTTACAACTCATTACGATACTCCCAGTTTAATTCTTTATAAATTTTGTACATGTATCGCTCGCAGCAAACACCAATTTAGGGATGTATACGCCTCAAAATTAATTCGATTTCCCAACGAAAAAGAAAGTCTTACAATCAAGAGATCGTACCGCCCACGTTTTTGAAACATTGAAACGGTACTGCTTCGAACTTGTAAATTTACGTAATTTGGGTGTACATTAATTTAAAAAAAGGGCCTTTTCTCTTTTATCTAAGCTCTATGTCAGTATGAACCTTTACAATGTACGCTAATTATAATTAAACTTCTGTCTTTGTTTCCTTAGAGAAGTAAACCTGAGAGCTATTTCGAAGGTTTTCTGTTGTTAATAAAAGTTGTTCTTTTAATTTAATTTCTAATTTAATGGTCTTTCTGATTCATATTTATTTATATTTAGTTTATAATAATGTGCCACTTTTTTATGAATTATGTACAACAGCAATAATAATTAATAACATAAATTAATTGAGTGAAATAGGAAAGAATATTAAAGTATTTTTTTCTTTATATTAATGAAATTTTAAATATATAGGGTGATAGGTAAATTGTCGAATCGATACAAGTTGTGAACTCTAGTGGCAAGAATAGACTTCATTCATTAAACTGAAACCATTGTTGAAAGATCCTATCGGCCTCCTTGTACATCGTGGACCATCTACCAGAGGGCGCCCAGGGTTTGTGGGCAATTATTAACTGCGAGTGTTGGTGCGCTTTAGGTGAACTTGAATGGGTTCCCTTTTCCGTTATCAAACGATCCATGGATGTCAACCTTTTGGGTGAGTTTCTGAAATTACTTAAAAAACCACATACGCTTAGTCGTTGAAATTTAAATAAAATATACTAGATGGCGCTACTGGTTTTGCGTTCAGATGTTTGTTATAAGTTACATTTTAATTGAAATCTAATTTCTAAATTGAATGCTTTAGGTTGTTTTACTAACAATATTAATATTTAATTAATTTCATTATGCTATCATGCTTATCCTTTAAATCTTATTCACTTAAATCCCTTTCATATATAAATTTATAAAGATATGAAGTCTTAAATTATTGTAGATTTATATACTTTGTTTCATAACGGCAGATTGGTATATGAATATAATAATTAATATATAAATAATTGGTATATTTGTATATGGTAAAGTCTAATAAAAAGAAATACAAGAAAAATATTTTAAAATAAGTATTCGTGTGATTATTTTGTATAGTTTGCCTCAAACTGAAATTGGAGACGCTTGTAACAAAATAACGTCTTAAACTTTTATACTATTGATCAAAAAGAAGGAATCAAAGAAAGGAATGTTGTCTTTATGATAGCAATGTGTTTGAACTATAAAATCAATATTTCTATTTCTTTCCAGAGAGCTCAGTATAACTTGTTGTAGTTTAATGGGATTTACGATCCTAAGATTAAACGCCTACGAAGGGACAGATCTAGAGCTTAGTGTTAACGTTAACGTTAGCGCTGATTGCGATTAGGGTAAGAATTAGGGCGAGGCTGTACGAGCTGGAGGCGTTCGAAGACTCATAATTTACTTTACTTTATCTAGTGAATGCAAATGTTTTTTAGTGATTAACTTTTTTCTGTAACTGCATATACGCGATATCTCTATTATCAACATTAAATCTCAACTTAAAGACGGACATCCATTTTTTCCACTTGTTCAAATTGTTGTTATTTTTCAAATTGTAATTCATTGTAAAAAATATTTCTTAAATTAATTAAATTAAAAATGATCGTCTAGACGGTTCAAGGAAAAATATAAAAAAAAAACTACACAAGAATGTCTACATGTTACAGAAACAGCCTTGTACACAATGTTGCCAGCTAATTTTGAATGAGGTTACTGGAATTTCAATCGCGTGTGTTTAATAAGCTTTCTTAGTTTCGAATAGATGAAACCTCAGTGGATTTTGTAAACATTACAGTGCACAGTTTTAAACACAATCATTCAAACTGACAGCGTAATTTAGTAGTCAATGTAAGATAACATCAATTTCATCGTAGTTAATGTTTGTTATTGAAAATTGAATGTTAATTAATTTGTTGATATCAGACTTAGCTTTTGAATTTTCTCAAGAAACTGGTGTAAATTAGTTTTCACATTAGGAATAAGGAATCATAAAGCGTATGTACGTGGAAATAATAACATGCCGTTTTATTGCCTTCATCAAATGAGGTTTGTGAGGTGTCTTCAGCAGTAGGCAGTGACTTGGTTGTGTCCGTGAACGACGCTACTTCGTAACCTCCCGTCAGGTGGTCCAAACGCTTGCCTGCCTACAAAAGCAACAGAGAAAACCTGTTTTTTAACTTTAAACTATAACGGCAGTCATGATACATATGAGGGAGTTCATATAGAGTCCCTTCTTTATTTCGCTGTAGTCGTGTTTTATGTAATTAACACCACAGTTGAAACAATATAAATTTTATTGTTGTAGCGGCATAAACAATTCTAAGTAATTATATTACATTAGTTATTAAACACATTATAAATTATTTTTACGTTTTAAATATTTTGGCGGTAAAAAGGTCTCGTGTCACAGACTATAATAATATTCTGTCTCCCACATCTCGTGCGTTCCGGCTTACGCATCATAAAAAGGTGCGTACTTAAACGCCACACATATATGAATTCATACAGTCGCTCTGTGATATAGATTCGGATAACATAAGATCTACAAAATAAATAAATTGTACATAAATTATTTTTTAATGCTTTGTCGGGTGGACGAGCTCACAGCCCACCTGGTGTTAAGTGGTTACTGGAGCCCATAGACATCCACAACGTAAATACGCCTCCACCTTGAGATAAGTTCTAAGGTCTCAAGTATAGTTCCAACGGCTGCAACGGAAACACATTACTGCTTTACGACAGAAATAGGCAGGGTGGTGGTGCCCACCAGCGCGGACTCGCAAGTGGTCCTACCACCAGTATGTGATCCTTCGATAAAAAAATTTTGATCACGTCTTACTTAAACAAAGTATCAGATTACTACAACTTTTGAGGAGGACAAAATTAATGAATTATTGTTGACTGCAGGTCCAGCTCGTCTGGTGCAAGTGATGCTGCCTCTGGTACGACGTGCTCGCGGTCGTATTGTACTGGCTTCCTCCATTTTAACGCACGTCGCGGCCCCTGTACGCGGGGTCCACGCCGCTTCTCTCGCAGCCCTCGACGCTATGGCTGCCTGTTTGCGTCGTGAGCTCAAGCCACGAGGTGTCGATGTTGTAAGTATAATATTATGAATCAATTGAATATGCAATTTCGAAAAGGGCACATGTCGCATATTTTGTCAAATACGTTTTTTCATATACCATACCATTACCATACCATTTCATACCCATTTTATAATAATTCCAGTAATTTTCAATTGCTAATTAACACTAAAATATATCTCAAAAGTTAATATTTTAAATTTTACACTGCTTTAGAAAATAATCAGTTTTTTTCATTTCCTGAACATTTTACATTTTCAGAGATGTGGCCTTTTCGAAATTGCATATTCAATTCTTTTTCGAGTCACACAATTATAACGATATACCCTGCATTGATTAAATGTTTTTTTTTTTTATCAAACAATATATCGAAAGGACGTTTTCAATATGGACTAAAAGAAAATAAGATTTATTAATTTATCCTGTATCTTATGTGTAAGTTAATCAATTATTGTTATAAAAATGAACGGCTAACTATAGCTACTACTGATACTAATACTACTAAGCTAATACTAATTCAGAGTATGCGTCACTAAAACCGTGTAAAGTTTCTGTTTGCCATCATCGATGTTGTTAGTTAGAAAAACAATCAGTAACGAAATTAGAAAAATAAATAAACGATATCCTAAAAGGTCGATGAGGATCAATGAAAATCGTTGTTCCTGTATTTTTCTTTTGTAAAAACAATGTTTTCTTTGCAAGATAAGTCGACTGTAAATGTTCTTCGACTCGAGAAATAAATTTTTAAATTCTAATTCAAATGGTAAAAGTTGGATCTCGATCTCATCAGAATTCACAATGGAGCTTACACAAAATGTTATTTCTATTCGCATTTCCATATAATTTATATGCCAACATATTACCAGGTTCTTCGTAAAAAATATAAGAATATAGATATTTCAGGAAACTAATAAATAAATCTGTCGCGTTTCTTGTGTACATTATTAATATTTTCGGCATATCAGATTAAATCTAATATGCCTAAAATATTGATCGGGGGACCGGTGTAGAATTATAATATATCCAATACTACAATCTACAATATCCATTATTACATCCAATACACTACCAATTCGTAATATTGGTCGAACAGACATTTTTAATACCAATACAGTTAGGACCTTAAATATCAAACTGGATCCTGGTATTCAAATCATGACTATGGTTTATGGGCACTACTATTCACTTACTAGTAGATAATACGTAGCATACGTATTTACTTATCCCGTAAAAACACAAAGTATACAATTGAAACTTCATAAACGGCGATAATACTTTCACCGATGAAACATAAATAGACAATGTAGACCTTTTGATATTAACCCACAACTTTTTGATTATCTTTAATTATTTTATTTTATTTTCACAAAAACTTTAAAAAAACACTAAATATTTTTGAACCGACTCAAAGGTAAATATCTTTCATAAATATCTTTCAAATTGATGGCAGTGATCAATCTTAACATAGCGCATAGGAAGATCTACAAACCACGTCCAATAATTGTTTTCTCTGGTCTAATCTATGAATCTAGTCCAAATAATCCATTTATTGTATATATCCATAAACATATTATATGTATTCGTATATTCGCGTTCTACAGAACTTGTCTGCCTAACTCTAGTCTATTAGATTACCGGGTGATGTAGTACGGACCGAATTATTATGAGTTGCTCAATTTGCCTCACCAATGTCTTGTTAGCTCGTATTCAATTTATGATACACTTATATTCTAGATCTCTGACACTAATTGGTTTTACTTTTCGAATTCTTGATCGTTTTTTTTTACAATATATTTGTTAATATATACTTTACTGAAATATTTTAAACAATATTTCGAGGTTATACACTGAACCAATAATAACTGTATTAAAAACGTAACTCTTAAAGTCATAGTTAACTCTACTGAATCAATAACCCTTGAAATTCCATAGGTGGTAGTGGCCGCTGGAGAATATACGACAGGTAGCGCTTGGTTATCCGAAGAGAAACTGCTGGAACAAGCCCGTGAGATGTGGAAACGACTCAGTGATGAACAGAAAGGAGCTTATGGCGAAGACTACTTCGAGCAGGCTCTCCGAAGCCTCGAAAAATACACTAAAAGCGCTGTGAGTACCCTCGCTCCTCGCACAGAAACGTGACGTCGCCTAATACCGCAGCATGAATTCAGTAAACAAGTTATATCCTTTCATCAAATTTTAGGGTTGCATTCATCAATAATTTATAGGAAAATTCAGATTTTCNAACAGAAAGGAGCTTATGGCGAAGACTACTTCGAGCAGGCTCTCCGAAGCCTCGAAAAATACACTAAAAGCGCTGTGAGTACCCTCGCTCCTCGCACAGAAACGTGACGTCGCCTAATACCGCAGCATGAATTCAGTAAACAAGTTATATCCTTTCATCAAATTTTAGGGTTGCATTCATCAATAATTTATAGGAAAATTCAGATTTTCAACTAAATTTCCGTAAAAGTTTTGAAATGAAATAGAACACACAATTCTTTTATTCAAAACCTTGTTGAGAAAACATGGTCGCTTTGGTATCACTTTCATTTCTTTAAAAATATGTAATCGCGAATGCTAAAAACATTAAGAATAAAATACATACGATTTTTGTTAATGTTTCTCTGAGATGGCTTACTTCTTGTGACATGATGTTTAGAGTACGTTTCAGAAAACGTTATTATCTTGTGGAAAACTCAATACCACTAAAAATCACGCTTGAACTAAAAATATTTGTTTGTGCCAATGATCCTGTTGTTTATCGTCAATCTATTTCATGCTATTTATTACATAACACAATTATGTTCTATTTACGAAACCATATTTTAATGAATCACAAGAATTCCGTAGGCCATAAAACAATATTAATATTGTTGTTTTTTTCTAATCAAACGTTCTGTTAAACATCCTATACATATGTTTAATAATACTTTTTAAATTTATGATATAACAATAAAATAAATTTACAACCGGATGTGGCGAATCTCGTAAATTCGTTATTTTTAAAATTAGCGATGATATTTAACACTAATACATATAATGAAACAGAAACAAACTGTACAATATTTTATGGCTTGTTTATCGTCATAAAACATTAGTTTTCCTAAAAAATAACAAAACTTTTAATTGTGCGTTTTACATACCATAAATTTTATTTTCTGAATTTATTCAAATTAGGTCTAGTTAATTTTGTGCATTTTTTACATCGGATTAGTTTTCATGTAAATTATTGCTTGAACATCTGTGGTAACATACCAGTTCAGAATCTAATGCATAATGTAAGAGAGTTCTGTAAAAGACATCGCCGATTTTATTTATGAATTTAGTAACAGTTTACAAAAACTTCTCAAAGTCGCAATCGAAATTTATAACTGACATTTTAAATGACCAAAAGACGTTTTCATTAATCTACCACGCGCATGCCGGTAATGCTCACGACCCACAAGTAATCACTTTTTTGTGTTTTACAGTTCGCTGAACCGAATTTACCTAATATAACATAGTATTAATAGAATTTGAAGTATTTTTTATTTATTTCAGATGCAATAGTCAAATATTTACATTTTATCTAAACTGTACATACTTAAATTTAGATCAGAAACTGTTATCCATAGTACCTACACTGAATAGCAGGATCGAATAATGGCAATATTTCGTGGAAACCATTTTATGTTGATATGCTTCGTCCAACATTCAAGATAAAAATCAGAAGGAGATTTAAGTAGGAAAATAGACTAAGTAGTGACAGTAGTGCACGGAAGCTAATCTTATACGGGCGCGCATTCTGATTAAGTTTGCTAAATTTTATCTTTTATCTTTAAACTAGCTGACCCGGCAGACTTCGTAGTGCCTCAATCGATAAATAAAAGACCGACGGGGGACACATCAAAGGAAAAACAAAAATTATTTAATTCCGAACATTTTACATACTTATTTACCTTTTAAACCTTCTCTGGACTTCCACAAATCATTTAAGACCAAAATTAGCCAAATCGGTCCAGCCGTTCTCGAGTTTTAGCGAGACTAACGAACAGCAATTTATTTTTATATATATAGATAAGATCGTTAGTGCGCGCGGGTGTGTGTGTGTATGTGTGTTATTTTTCCTGTACGTTATTTCTTTTCCTCTCAGGATGCCGATTTATCAGCGGTTACTCGCGCACTAAGTGACGGTGTGACACGTACGTTCCCGCTGTCTCGCTACACGCCGGTCTCTCCAAGAGAGAAACTGAAGTCTCTACTCGCAGAGCACATGCCACGCTCCCTCTACGAAGGTCTATACACAGATTAAAAAATATTTTGCTCAAATTTTTACAATGCCAACGATAAACAACTATACCGAGCTACTTACGAAAAATATTTGAGCTTTGATTTTTTTGCACCGATTTTAACATCGATATTTCAAAGAAGAAATAATGAATATGGTTAATCCGCATTGCGCACAGTATCACACTAATTAACAATGAACATTTTTTTAATGTCAAATTTTACAGGAAATAGTTTATCAAAGCTACTTTCATGAGTGAGTAAATGTTTCATAGATGAGAACTTCAACAAACCAAGGCCACGTCTGACGTAGCGAGTGCTAAAAGTTATTAATGTTCATCTATGAAGAATTTACAAAGTATTAAGAAGTATGTGCATACGTAATTCATTAAAATTGAACTCGATACTGCCACGGTATGAAATATATCAAAGCTAGGCCACTACACATGAAAGACAAAGTTTCAGAGGCTTACCGGATGGAAGGAGTTTGCTGATCGTTTAAGCTGACTTCTATCCACTTGGACACGTATTTATGGAGAGGCTTCGTTTGTGAAAAATGTTTTTCCGCGGACACTTGAAACGGATGGGTAATATATAAATACAAAGCTCGTAAATTTCCCAGCCGCTCCATTTCCATTTACATGAAATTTTCACGAGAGTCGCTGCATTTGACGTATTCAATTAAAAGAGATGCAGACACAAACAAAGGTTTTGATTTTAAACGGCGCTCACCTTGCAGTGCCCGCGAGAAAAATACTATACATTTAGAATAAATACGAACTATTATTTTTCATTGGGTAGCATAAATGCTAATGGGTGTTGATCTTGAATATTTAAATTATACAACCATAATGTAAATGAAGAATCGCGTCGTACACAAAAATTCTTTGAGGCAACGATATAAATAAATTTCAACGACAGACTCTTTCAAGCCTAGCTATTTTTGTTATAAATAAATAATAAATAGTGCATACTAGTAGCCAGGTCGTCTTGTCTTCGGCTTATAAGTTGGCACTCGATCAATTTTGTCACCATCATAAAACGCTGATCCCATTTCGCATTTAAACGAACGAACACAATGAATATTTGGTAGGCACTTTTAAAATAAAACAATTTATAAATTATATCTTGATTTCATGTACAGCTCTAAAAATAATTTATTGTTTTATTATTTGTGTTAAAAGTTATGCGCTTTATTTTTGTAGTTAGTTAGACATGTTTTTCAAATATACTTTAGTTTATCTATAAGAAACATTTTAATCCGATGTTGTTCAAGTAGATAAATAGTGATTTAAGTTAATAAAATGTGTAGGTAATAGCTCCGGCTATTATATTTTAATGTTCATGTTCCTAGAATATTGAATAATCTTATAATAAATTAGTACACTAGAAAATGAATTTGAACCCGATTTTTTTTGCGTAAAAACTTTGTAACATACGTTGTAATTAGTATACTTAAGTTTTAAGTGTTATTTGTAGATTTTGAATGTCGCTTATATTAAATTAATAAAAGCACAGCATTTTTTTTATATTCTTGACCTTAATTTTACTGAAACTAGAACCAGTGTAAGTATTGTTTGATAAATTCTGAAAGTGCTGTACTTTAAAAGTTTTTTTTTTGTTGCTATGGGTTTGTAACGAAAACCTATTAGTCTTAACAGCGTGATTTTAATGAATTGTTGTTTTTTTAATAAACCATCAAACAATTTATGATTATTATTTATTAAGAACAAACCATTAAAAACATATTATTTTAGTTTTAGTAATAAAAAAACTCTAGATTAAAACTCTTTTCCTCATTTTCGTGTCGAAGTCACAAATCGAGATGTACAAAACAGGCAAATCCTTATTTCTCGACCGAATTATTATATCGATACAATTAATATACATAAATCATCAACACTCAAAGCCGATTTAAGTCTGTTTAAGCTGGATTATCATTGATTTACAATATTGTTGTGTTAGGTAAGCATTCCGTGAAAGTACTATTTTTTCACAACAATACAGAAATAGGAATGCAGTTTACGAAATTTATTTAATCTCTTAAATAAAACTCATTAGTCTAGATCACAGTTGGGAGTTATTGTTAATTATTAGTTTATACTCACAGATGACGTCGTCTTTTAAACCATTGAAAAAGTATAAAATACTATACACTATAACAATACTGTCCACCACTGAAGCCCACCATGCGATTCAAATGTGACAATTTAAGGAAAAGCGTTGCATTAATTACCATTCTTTATTATTAGGAAGTTATTATCAGAAGACTAGTTGACCCGGCAGACTTCGTAGTGCTTAAACTTTTGTATAAATAAACTTAAAACAAACAAAAGGAATCCGTCCGACGGGGGGGGGACACATCAAAAGAATAAGAAAATTGTTATTTTTATTTAATTAGGAAGATTTTCATATTTATCTACATTTTAAACCTTCTCTGGACTTCCACGAATAATTCAAGACCAAAATTAGCCAAATCGGTTCAGCCGTTCTCGAGTTTTAGCGAGACTAACGAACAGCAATTCATTTATATATATAGATAACAAGATTTGTATTAGACAGTCGATCTCATGGTATAGGTACTGGTGGTTACAACGACTTACACCATTGCATGCGATTCGTTTGAAGTCGTCGTGGCCTAAAGGATAACTTGTCCGGTGCGTTCGTATCTAGGGATGCACCGGTGTTCGGATCCCGCAAGCGGGTACCAATTTCTCTAATCAAATACGTAACGACATATGTATAATACTTAACAAATGTTCACGATTGACTTCACACGGGGAAGGATTTTTTATTACATGTATAAAAACGTAACGTGTAACGTGTAAAAAAATCAAACCCGCAAAATTATAATTTGCGTAATTACTGGGGGTAGGACGTCTGGTCGGTAGGTACCACCGCCCTACCTATTTCTACCGTGAAGCAGTAATGCGTTTCGGTTTGAAGGGTGAGGCAGCCGTTGAATTATACTTGAGCCCTTAGAACTGATATCTCAAGGTGGGTGGCGGCATTCACGTTGTAGATATCTATGAGCTCCGGTAACCACTGAACATCAGGTGGGCCGTGAGCTCATCCACACAAAAAATATAAAAAAAGGATGCCACTATACTATTTGAGAGATGGAAGTTTCATTAGTTATTCTACAAACTAAAACACTAAATAATGGTAGAATTATGAAAATGTTTCTATTTTATAAAAATTAACTGATATTAGAAAAGATTTTCTCCTTATTAATGTAAAATGCGTAGGAATTCTTAAGGTGAAATGTAATATGCCGTGGTATTTATTATCGAACACTGTTCGAGAAACAACAGATTAACAGAGTGTAATGTGATATCTTCATTAATACGGCCCTCTTTTTTCTTCGAAAACATCAATCTGTAACCCAGAACTAGTGAGATTAATGACTTTCTGGACCACTTACGTCAGCCCACTTCAATTCTATTTTTAACATGTATATCTGACTCAGGAAAATAAATTACATTTACATAAACTACAAATGTCTGTGGGAATAAAAATAAGCGTCAAACTGTAGGTTCCGTCGAGTATGGATAAATGAGTTTTGCGCCATGGAAGCTTTTCAATCAAAAACTCTTAATTTTTTTTTTTTCTTAATTTCGAAGAGCTTAAAAAATGTTTTGTGTTGGGAGGGACAGGTTAAAAACAAGAGTTCACATTTTGAAAGTCAGTCACTTTATGGTGATGTTTATGGTTTTCAGACTTGTATAAAATAATTACAGTTTCATCATCGGATGTTTATTCTTTTCATAAAAAAAAATCCTAGAGGCATTAAAATTTAAAAAATACCCTAAAATCAATAGGCAGGAGTTTGAGGTTTATATAACACCTGGGTTCTTCTTATCATGAAAATGAAACCTCAAGCCACTATTGGAATACATAGTTGATTGCATTGCAGTCAACCCAATGTTCAAATGCCGAAGAATCATAATCCGCGACCGCGAAAACCAAATTACTGGTGGTAGGACCTCTTGAGAGTCCGCGCGGGTAGGTACCACCACCCTGCTTATTTCTGCCGTGAAGCAGTAATGCCTTTCGGTTTGAAGGGTGGGGCAGCTGTTGTAGCTAATAAAAAAAAATTANATTGAAATAATTGATTGCATTGCAGTCAACCCAATGTTCAAATGCCGAAGAATCATAATCCGCGACCGCGAAAACCAAATTACTGGTGGTAGGACCTCTTGAGAGTCCGCGCGGGTAGGTACCACCACCCTGCTTATTTCTGCCGTGAAGCAGTAATGCCTTTCGGTTTGAAGGGTGGGGCAGCTGTTGTAGCTAATAAAAAAAAATTACAAAACGCGAGATTAATAACTAAAAACGCTTTATATTATTCGCTAAAAGGCTTATTACACTTGGCTGAATTTAGTCGACTGAAATCAGAAGCAAATTTAGAAGCTTCTGATTACACTGTTCTAAATTCAGTTACTGAATCAATTGTCAGTTTAAGCGCGACGAAGTAAGACGTGTCGTATGCGTAAGAGGATGGCCCCAGTATTGTCTAGACAACAAAAAAATTGTTTTTTTTTTGTTTTGTATTATTTTGTTTTTGTTTTTTGTTTCAATTTCTCAAAATAAAAAAAATAAAAAACTATCGGTGAAGAAATATTTATTGCTGTGCGGAATGTTAGCAAATATGAACATTATGAGTGATTTAGAACCAGCAGACTTCAGAAATTATCTACGAATGGATTCGAGATCGCTTGAGAATATTAAACCTTGTGACACCGTTTATTCAAAAGCAGGATAATATCCTACGATATTCTATTATATATCTATTATACAGCTATTACATATCTAATCCTACGATATTATAAGTCCAAAGGGAAGATTGGTTCTAACATGAAGATTTCTTGCAACAGGAAATTCGTATCAAGATTTAAAATTTAGTTCTTCAATATCCCAACCCCTGATGACAAAAATTACCCCTGAAACATTATATAAATGTCTGGCACATTAAATAAAGGTTACCGAAATTAATACTTTTTATTCGGAAGTAAAAAACAAACAAAAACGTCCTTACGCACGGAGAGCTATGGGACGACTGAAACCATTAAGTAACTAAATGCGATTACACTTTCCTAAATGCGTTTCTAATTAGGCTTCGAAATGATTTAGTCAGTCAGAAACCATCCTTGCTACTGAATTCAGTAGACTAACTTAATGCTATTACACTTCACTGAATTCAGTAGCGACTGAATTCAGTCGACTAAATTCAGCTAAGTGTAATAAGCCTTTTAGCGAATAATATAAAGCGTTTTTAGTTATTAATCTCTCGTTTTGTAATATATTTTTACCTTTGATTCAAACAGTACGCATGAATGTGCGTCTAATCGAATATTAAACATATATGTATGTATAATATACGAATAAATCTTATGACGACATTGAATACTTGAGATGACGTTAGATTAGTTAGATTGTGGGACTGACGTATAGCTTATTATTTTAAGATGATATTGAATATTTCTTCAGCAATTGAAATAAATTTCGTATTAATGGACAATAATTATAGCTAAAATCTGTTATTTTCAGAAAATCTGAAGTGTTAATGGGCTGTTTCATCTATCTAAAACTTTAATTAGGTTTCCTCCACTTTTGCGATGTTAGCTTCAGTTGCAGACGTTGATGGCCATCAGAGCAAAGCAAATCTTCCGTCACATCGAGACTGCTTTGTACCACTCATAAGCACGTGGATTTGACAAAGTCCATCCAACGTAAGCCTTCTGTAACATTTTCAGTGACCCCGAACATGACATTCTATTGGAGATGCAAAATTAGAGGCAAACACTTTGTTCGTGTTGAAATTCGCAATACACATTAAATATGATATAACTAAAAAGACAACTGTATTAAATCTAAATAACAAATTTAACTCAAGCCCCGCGCCAAAATTGAAAACAGTTGTGCCAATCTAACAACAAAAAATAAAATTGTTTTAATCATAATTAAATCATTCAATCCCGATATTTATTGGACTGAATCTAATTTTGTGAAAACAAAATTTTAACATATTCATTTTGAGTATTAACAAAGGGTCAGTTGTCTATTGTTCTAGCTATAGCTTAAGAACAAAAAGAGCTTAAGAACAAAAATGAACGAGGAAAGAATTATGTAGATTCAAATTCTGCTTAATTTATTGTTAAGCGATATTACTAAACACATACGTGAGGTGTTACACGCATTCTTATTTAAAAGGGTACATTGTTTATCAGGCTCTCGAGCATGAAATGGTAATAAGCTCGTGTAAAATGTATTTCAGTCAGAGGTCAGGTGCGACCTCGACCTAAATAGCATGCTACAAAGGTCGTGCAGTTGTATAGTAAATGCAACTCACAAGAATCATGAAAGGTGGAACACGGTTTAACGTAAGCAAATGTAGATTTTTAAGATTTTTTATTTTTATTTTTGTACTTTTACCAAAAATCGATTCCAAGTGCGAGATCATAACTTTTTTTTTTATATTACAGGCTTTATCGGCTAAAGATACAAATTGGCTTATTATTTTTACTTTATTTTATTATATATATTATATATAAGTATTCAATGTTTTTAATGATTCATTTGTAAGCATTTGTTCACAATGAAGTTATACTTTCATTAAAAAAACTGCCTGAACGTAGTTTCGGATNAAAATCGATTCCAAGTGCGAGATCATAACTTTTTTTTTTATATTACAG